CAGGAATGCGCGTGCACCATTTTTTCATCAAGTACAAGGTAACACCTGCATTTTATGTCTTTCGCAGCAAACTCTGGATGCAGGGAGAATTGGTATCGCCTCACAGGCTCTTGGAATAGCACAGGCAGCTCTGGACTGTGCTGTGGATTATGCTGAAAAGAGAATGGCCTTCGGGGCACCCATCACGAAGCTACAGGCAGTGCAGGTACGAGCTTGGCGGCCGGGGCAGTGCCAAACACTGCTGGTGGGAAGTTCGTGTGAGCTCTCGGGTGGGGCATCAGGCATGCAGTGCACTTTGCACTGTCTGGGATAAACAAGGCAACGACTTCTGTTTTCAGACACCGTTAAGGCCGGGTGTTGGGATGGCGGCATCGGCCTCTGTGGCAGGAGACTGCTGCTGATCATTGTGGTGCAGGCAGAGGTCGGCACCTGGACCACAGGCAGCGTTTGTTGTTGCAGTTTAAGCTGGCAGATATGGCGCTGGCCTTGGAGAGTGCGCGCTTGCTGACCTGGAGAGCTGCTATGCTGAAGGACAACGGGAAGCCCTTCACAAAGGTATTGCCAACCTTGCGTGTGTCTGGCAGCGATGGCGCTGGGCACAGGCCCAAGGCAAGAAAACCACGGTGTGTACAGCATCGCTGCGTCCAGCCCTGGTGGCGTTAACCCACCAGCAGATGCTGGACCGTGCTGTCTGTGCTCGGGCAGCCTGCTGCAGGAGTCCGGGCTTTAGCCCGGGGAGAGGGGTGGCCTCTGGCACCACCGCTCAGCCGTGTCTCTCTGCACGGCTGGGCTGTGGGCCGTCAGGCTCCTGGTGCGAGGTGTTCCTCTCTGTGCTAGCTGCACTCTCAGTGATGTTTTCCTTTCCCAAAGGAAGCGGCGATGGCCAAGCTGGCTGCATCAGAAGCTGCAACGGCCATTGCTCATCAGGTAACTTCATTTGACACCACCGATACACGGTATGCTGAAAGGGACTTTGTCATCCTTCCCTTTGTCACACACAAGTGCCTGGGGAAGGTGGGATAGACCTTGCTAGTTGCTTTTGGTTTTTTTTATAAAGCCCCAGACCGACCAACCCATGTGGCTGAAGCTGGTTAGCACTGCCATCTTGCTGGATTTCGGGGTGGGGTGTGCAGGGACTTATGCTGGCCTGTGGCAGCTGTGCTGTTAACAATGCCTTGTGCCTGCTGCTGCCCCAGGGCCACATCAGAGGTTTCTGAGATGGATGTGGGAGGGAGCATGGGTTCACCAGTCAGGACGAGTGGTAAGCTTGCAACATCATGAGCGGATCGAGTAGTACCTCCAGTAAATGTCTGCATCTAGTCTCCCCTGTCCTTAATAAAAGTGTCTTAGCTGAGCATGGATCACTAACAAGTAGCTCTGCAGCAGTTCATTCTGCTGGGACAGCAGTATTGCTCTTACCCAGTTCAAACCCTGCTTATTCCGCTGACTGCCGCCAGACTGCAGTCATGCCCACATGTCCCCCCCCACCCAGTTATGCTTGCAGTGGGCTCAGCTCCTTTTAAAGTGGCTGTGTTCTGTAGAAAACTAACTCCTTGACCCTGCTTCCTTTGTTTCAGGCCATCCAGATCTTGGGTGGAATGGGCTATGTGACAGAGATGCCAGCAGAACGTCATTACCGCGATGCCCGCATCACCGAGATCTATGAGGGGACCAGTGAGATCCAGAGACTGGTGATAGCAGGTCAGCTGCTGAAGGCCTACCGCGGCTGAAGGCGCTGACTGGAGCAAGACAGTGCCCCAAAGTGCCTCGTACCGGCGCACAACAGTGACTGAGTCTTGGCCCTCCTGAATGAGGCGAAGGACGGTTTTCCTCACCAATGAATAACTGACTCTCTTGTTAAAACGTGCTGTTTCTTCTCTGGACAAAGTACGGTGCGTGGAAGGCCGTATCTAGGGCTGTAAGTGATACCTGCGAGTGCAGGAGGGAGGAGGGACCCTGTCCTCGTAGGGGAGTGTCTTTTCCTGAACTGGAATGTTGGTTTGGTAGCGGCAAAATGACTTTGCTGTTCCATCAAGTCCTGGGGTGCTTCCGAGCCACTGCCTGGTTTGCAAAAAATTTGTCACTGCATGGCTAATCAGCGCCAAAGTTAGAGGCACTGAGAGCTGTCACCCCTGTGCCTTGTTCCAGGCTGCAGGTCACAGGGCCTCTTCTGCTCAGACTTCAGTGAATTTCAGGTGTGGGACACCGCGGTGTGTGAGCTCCTCATTGGCTGCAGGCTGCGAAAGGTGTCCTTGCAGCAGGGCACGTTTCCTCGTGTGCAGCAGGAGAGGAGCCGGAGGGAAGAACACAGGTACCACTGACGCACAGGGGGCTCAGTGCGCGCTGGCTCTGCAGGCGTGAAAACAAAGGTCAGACAAACCCCTCCATCCTGGCCAGCAGCCTGCTTGCTCAGCTGCCTGGAGCTGGGGGTGGAAGAGCAAAGGACAGAAAAGTTGCACTGCCTGAGACTGATTTTATTTTTTTTAAAAAACACCACCAAAAAAAACCCCCTCTGCTCCCAAAGCTGCTTTTACTATCCCACACCTATCCTACAGGAAAGAAAGTGCCTGAGGTCGCAGTGACAGCCTTCAATCTCGACCTGTTTTGGGCAACAGCAAGGAAAGGAACAGACAACAGATGACACAGAAAACCTTGTCGGGAAGCTCTAGCAGTAGCACACAGCCTCAATCAGTTAGCTCTGGCACAAAATTAACTTTCAGAAGATTCAGCAGCCCAAAGAAAAGCTCTGAACGCAGGAGAAGATGGAGAGGTTTAAGACTACAGCCTGCATGGTCCATCCCCTTGTCCAAACGACGAGTGCACCAGAGGCAGATGGTTATTTTCTTGTGGTGCCATTCAGTTATAGCTCTGTGGAGCGAAAACCAGGAGGATTTTGTTACACATAGGAGAGCAGAGAAGACAAATAAACCCTGATTTTTAAAGGACCACCAGTCCCCATTTTTTTTTTTAATGCAAATGTGAATGCATTTAGAGCATTTTCTTCGAGTCACACGAGACAGGAGCACAAACCAGCAGCACCCGCATGCACCAGTCTGAGGGTGTTTGCTAGCGCAGGCGCCCCAGCAATATAAATCATCGCTTTGCAGGGCGCTCGAGGACAACGGCATGCTGGGGCAAAGGCTTGCAAGTCTTGACTCTCTCCTGCCTGCTCTCGCCAACACAAGGCTTAACAGAAACAGAGCCAGGCAGGGAATTCAACGGGAGCATGTGTACTGGAAAACCATTCTAGTGACTGTGACCGTGTTGTAAATTACGGAGGGCTGCTACGCACGGAGAGACACTTTCCGAGCTTGCTTGCAGCCTGTGTCACCGCGCTGATGATTGCGGAAGGCTCATACCTCTGATTGTGGGGAGAAAGTGGGATTATTTTACACTTATTTCTCCGTGCAGCCACTCAGCTAGAACAGGAGCTGCCAGGCTGCGGGCTGCAAGGACGCGAGGACCTCAGGAAGGCAGCGTTGGTGTTCAGGTCTTGTCTTCACTGCCTCGTGTGCTGAGGCCCAGCTCTCTCCCCAGGGACCCGCAGCAGTGGGTCACGCTTAGGCCACGCCTGCTGCACTGCTGCCCCTCTGCTCATCTTGCTGCTCCTCCTAGATCTGCTTTACCGTACCGCCAGCGCTTTCAGCCTGCTCCTCTTCACCGTCACGCCTCCCTCACTTACCAGCTCTAAATGACTGCAGCTTCTCTTCTCCAGAGCACAGGGCCCTGTACACACCCCGTGGCTGAGCCACGGGGGAGAGCAGCGATGCACACCTCAGCTGACAGAGCTCCTGCACACCAGTGCTACCAAACCCCACACCGACCTTCTGCAGAGAACAGGGCGGGGGAGCATCGAGTAAGTGGCCGCTCTTGGGGGGAGCCTGCCTTTGGGAACACCCCGCTCACGCCCCGCGCACCTCGTTAACAAGCTGCTCGCTAGCTCCGACGTGGGTACCAGAGCGGCCCTGGCTGACACCCGCACGCTTGATGCTGACCTGCTGAGCGCTGCGCCTCCGCCAGAGCCTGTGTCACATTCCACCGCACACCAGCGCAGTACAAGAAGGGTGGAGCTGGTCAGAAAGCACTGGTCGAGGCACAGCACGCCAGTCAGGTTCGTGAGCCTAGGAAGGGCTCAAGATGCTCTGTTAGAGTTCCCTTTTGTTATTACCTAAAACAACCACTCTTTAAGGGTGCAAAGTCCCTCAAACAAAAGCTTTCCAATACCTTCCTTGCTGCCACAGGTCCCGAGGGATCGGTCACCAGTCACGCAGCTCTGCTCGCCGCACCGCTCCGGGGTGACCAGCCCAGAGCTCCGAGCAGAGCGCTGGCTTCACTCAGAGCAGGGCACGAAGAGCTTGCTCCTCGCTGGTGCTGGCTGAGAGCATCCTGGCTGTAATGGCGTGCCTCTGCTCCCCAAGGCTGTTCCAGAGGAGAACTGCTGAAAGCGCGGAACAGAAACAAGTTTTGCAGCAGTAACAAGGGAGCTCTTGCCAAGAGCCACCCCCGGCCCGCGCTAACCTGGCCAGGCCTGGGTAGGGCCAGGCTTTCCTCTGAGAGGCAGCTCGACTTACAGGTGAAGCCAGATGTTTTTATCAGCGTACAAACTCAGCCAACATTGAAAAGCTTGGGCACCAAGATAGGAAAATCAGGTCATACATAAATTAGAAAGAGGCGGGAAAGGAGGTAAGCCACAGCTACGCCTTGCAGCGACAGCGCGGGGTTTGCCCCACAGCGCTCTAATACCGTACGTGGAACTGGTTATGAGGCAGACTACTGGGAGGGAAGCAGGGGGAGCCCCAGCTAGAATCCTTTCTTAGAAAACACAGTAATGAGGAGTTACTCCTCCCTTCCCCATTTGCTGTATTTTACATCATACATAAAGCTCAGTCTCTTTCTAGACAATAGGACGAGCGGAGCTGTTCTGGGGTCTCACACTGAAGCACACGCAGGTGAGGAACGCTTCGCTCTTCCTGGGGAGCACAGATGTGAGCCATGGCCTTGGCCAACAACGAGGAGCTGCCTGGAGTCAGGATCCCCTTCAGAAGCATCTGCCCGGCTCAGAGTGCCGCGGGACCAGGCTCACCTCACCATTTCACACAACTGCAAAAAACCCAGAAGCGGCATCCCAGCCTCCCAGGTTTGAGCAGCATATAAGAGGTTTTACAGGGCTCAGCTGAAATAGCTGTAGTACTGCGTTCACATCAGAACACTCACCTCTACGAGTGTTTTCCGACGGTGTTATCTAAAAGAAAAATAGGACAAATTATTTTGATTTTAAATGAAGTTTTGTTTTGCCCAATTTGAGAGCCCTCATTCTACACACAGACCTGGCAACAGCCACACATTCAGGTTACGCTGGGGCTCTTGGAAAGCAGGAGAAACATCAAATCTGAAAGACATCCTGAAGCAAAAATGTGAAATAAGAGTAACAGGAGGAAGCAGTGGAATAGAGAGAAGAAAATGTGACAGGGTTGCAACTTGAAAGACAAATGTACTTTACTACTGTTCAGTTACAAATTAATTTCAAAGTCCACTCACTCACTACTCACATAAAAATTCCTGGGAGCCTTCCCTCCACGTCCTCCTCCAAGGAGGTCAGTGCGAAGCTGGGGAAGGCACCCAGCCATCGGTATGTATTTCCCGGTTGCCTCAATGACTGCTTGCTCCTTTCTCCCAGAAGACGCCGTACTTCCACACTCGACAGGAAATGTTCCTCTCGGCAAAAGGCTTCCGAATGTCACACTACTGAAAGCGCAGCGCCGGCCACCGCGGCGTGCTCCCGAGCCTGCGCAGGCAGCGTGGGACAGCCTCGCGGCTGGGCCGGGCGCGGGGCTCGTGAACGCCGGGGCA